AGCTCTCTCTAGCCACATCATTCCTGTGGTCTGTATGATCTTCTTCATTAATGCATCATTACTTCACTTTTTACAACTTTGATGTTCTTGCTTCAAAAAAAGTCTCCCTGGGGGCAAGTTAGATGTGCCTCCTTATTATCTGGCACAGCTCCTCACACATAGTAAGTTCTCAGTAAATATTTCCTGATTTACAAATCAGTCAAACAGGACACAGATGGAGACATCTGCCACATTCCAATAAAAGAAAGAGGGAAAGAGAAGATAGAAACATCTTTGTTTCTGCCTATGCTGGAGGAAATAGCGAGTGGGCAGACAAGAGCATAGACATTAAAATGGCATTTAAACAGGGCACCATTTAACCTCTCCCCCCTGTAAATGGCATTCATAATGACTAGCAACAGGCTCAACATATCAGCCACTGCTCCAGCTTCACAGGAACGTCAACAATTCAACTTAGTTTGGTTGTTAATTAATGGAGTGACTTCTGACACCAATAATCTATGGATTAGCAGAGAAGTAGGGTATAAATCATAATCTCTATGTAAAATACACTTTTATAAAATATAAAGACTTGAGGTGTTGACACAGTGGTGGACATCTATAATCCCAGCAACTTGGGAGGCTGAGGCAAGAGGATCAAAAGTTCAAGGCCCACCTGGGCAACTTAGTGAGACTTTGCTTCAAAATTAAAAGGGCTGGGATATTTCTCAGTAGTAAAGCATCCCTGGTTCAATCTTCAGTACATTAAAAAAAAAAAAAAAGATTTTAAGTCTTTTCTTGACAATTAAAGACAATTTTTTTTTTTTTAAATTTCTCCTCTGCAGATTGTCCCCATTACCACTGACGTCCCTTCCCAATCATGGTCCCTAATCTCTAATCTCTAACAAATGGCAAGAGCAAGGACCAAGGAAAGGAGGAAGAAGACTGATGAGCTGGAAAAATCTTAGATCTAAAACTGTCATCCCATATTAGAGATGAGAAAAACTGAGATTTCACATATTGTGGAAAGAGCCAATGGGTTTGGCCAAAATCAGTTTCAATACTGCCTCCTCCATTTTCTGTGTGACCTAATGTTGCCAGGCTTCATTTTCAATGACTATAAAAGGGAAATAACCGCCCTCGCAGGATTGTTTTAAAGGTGAAATGGGATAATAAATGGAAAAGCATCTAACTACCCATAGGTGCTCAAAGGCTAAGGATTTGAAAGAGGGATCAAATTAGTCTCCTTCCCTGTTGTCCCCCTAGGATTCTGCAAAGAAAGAGACATTTACTATAGCTGCAACCTCTGTTCACACAGAAAAGACACTGGGGACAGGGAAGCTGCTGAAGTCAGAAAGTAGCTAACAAACAGCATCTGCCATCTGTTCTTTGCTTTCTTTCTGAGCATCTCTGTACAAGGACAAGTTAGCTCCAGGACACTCTCTCTGCCAGCTGGGCAGGGCCACTGGAAAGCAGAGGGATCACCAGGAGGGCAGAGGCTCCTGCCCTGGCTCTTCAGGACTAGGAGGCAGTAACTACCCAGCTGGCATTGAGCACCATCCTGTCTCCCTCTGGCCACACCAGTCAGCTCCTGGGCAGAAAATATCAGCTCGGCATATGCACACATGCTGAGGAAGCAATAAACAGGTACTTGCAAGGTTAAAAGGATGTGGCTTTTAAGTACACATGCCCCATGGAGAGCCCTCTCCCCACAACCTTCCTTCTATTTAGGCCACCTTCCATCAAAGCAAGCAGGCAAGCAGGCTTCACAGGGTCACCTCCCCCACCCCAGCCAGGAGAGGGCTGCATTCCTGGAGGAAAGCCATTCTCCCTTCCCTTCATGAGGGGCTGCCTCTTGCCCAACCCAGGTCTTTACTGCACCTTGTAATGGTTCTCCAGGCAGCCAAGCTCAATGACGAAGTTGGCCCACAAAGTCAGAGCAATTCAGGCGACAGCTATTTAACAGCTCATAAGGGGCTGGGCTCAGAACACTTCCTTTACTCTAGGGAACCGCATTTTTCTAAGATTATTATTCCTTGGGCTGGCTGCTCAGCTACTCAGCATCCTTTCCCATTTGGGTGGGAAAGTACGTTGCTTCTGCATAGATTTTCATTATGATTTCAGCCTTTCCGCCCCCACCCATCTGCAGATCTCAAAATTATAAAACATGGCCTATGGATCTAAAAACCAGGGCATATGAACCTAGTACCCAGCTTAGAACTCTTGCTCTGAAGCCCTGAGTAGCAGGAAACCATGCAGAAAAAGGAAACCTCTAGGTCTCAGCCTCCTCCTCTCCTCTCACCACTGGCTGAAATACCAGCAGTAAATGGCAACTGAACAACCAGCAGGGTGACAGGTGGGTGCAAAAGCTTAACAATGGCTACACAAACAGGGGGCGGCTCTCCAGGGACTTACAGTCCAATACAGGAAACCCAACCATATATGGAATGTAGTTACTCAACAGAGAAACCTTGAACTCTGCCAGGAGGAGGAGAAGGGCTAGAAAGGAAGGAAAGAAAGACCTGGTCCCTACTGCTGACAAGGGTGTATTTAGAAGCCAGAGCTTCAAGGCTATAAGAGCCAGGCACTGACCACCAGCACCTCCCCAGTGTGAAGGGGCTACAGACAGTTTCCCTAACAACCACATTATTTGTAAGACTCAAGACTAATTACCAGCAGGAGTACTCACCTCCCCAAATACAGAAACATGGAGATAGAGCCTGGGTGACCCTCTACCAAAGGTGCAGGAGAGGGCAGGCAGATATCAGCACAGGACACAGTGAATGCTACAGGACCTCTGGAAGCTCTTTCAGCCTTGAGACTTTGCTGCCTTGTGGAATAAGTGGCAGAACCTAATGATGCATGGTGGCCAAGCAAAACAAGCCAGACAACTCCTCAGAGGTTATCAGAAAACGTGGACTCACTGCATTTACCTAATGCTGGTTTTCTTTGTTGTTTCTTTGTTCTCCCTAAGTGACAATGTTTGAGCCACTACCAGAAAATAAGCATAGGACATTCCTAGATCTTCACCCATATTGGTGGCTTCTAGCAATTTTCAACAGGTAATCAAAATCATCTCTTTTAATCGCACCTTCTAACATCCCACATAAAATCAGGCCTTAAACCAGCAGAAGGGCAAGCACTCCTTGGGTGATTTTGTGGGGACACCAGGAAACCTTAGGTAAGAAGATTTAGGCTATTCCTACTCCTCCTGAGTTGCTTTCTGGAACTCTTTCATACCTGAAGTCTCCATGAAATAGTTCAAACCTCCCCAAATTATTCAAACAAGGAAAGTTACAGAGCCACAGCCAYAAGGAAAGTTCAGATCACTTGGGGCCCTGATTCTTACTTTATTTCCCCCCTAACCCAGTTGCCTCCACACTCCCTCCCTCAGTAACACCCACCTCACTATGACCTGTGGAGATTCTCAGTCTTAGAAGAAAGGAGACTCCTGTGCCAACCTCCTCTAGCCAGGACCCCACAAGTCAGCATCTCTCCCAGCTATTCCCTAATAAGATTGGCCTCTCAGCTAAGAAGGCCTATATACAGCCAGAGACACCTGCTTCCATTCCTGAGTATCCCCTCTGAAATGTCCTCAACTCCTTACACTCCACTGTCTATCTAGAAAACCTCTCAAAATACCATACAGTGTTCCTCAGTTACTTTTCTATTACAACAAAACTAGAAATTTTTCTCTTTCATGTTCTTGATTCCTCCCTCCAAACCTAACAAAACAAAGTTATTAGTAATCTGAAGTCAGAGTCGCTCCAGGATGGGTTTCCTGAAGGTCTTCTGAAGGTCTACCAATCTCAGGCCAGTGACAGATTCACAAAGACAAGGCAGTTTGCAATGAGAGAACTGTCAAATATGGAGTTGAGGTTTTATGGGGGGGGGGCAAAAAAATCTTTTTCATATTTAACTCTAGCAAACATCCMTTGGATGAAGCAAGCTATTTCACTTACTAGAAAGTTGTGAGATATGAGAAAAGTAACTGAACTGAAATTCAGGCAGATGAAATCTTCTCAACCTTCACCTAAACTCCAAATGAATGGTCCAGTATAGCAACAATCTAGCCTGTCCCTGCTTGTACGACCTTCCTCACTCACAGGAAGGCAAAGGCTACCACCACCACGTTGCTGACTTTTGTTCAAAGCACTTTCCATTATTTTTACTTTCATTTTGTCACATCATCACCAGGAGGTTAGGAGAAACCCGGGTCATTTCTTCCATTTCAAAGACAGAGATACTAAGACCAGAAAAGAGACCATCCTAAAGGTCATAATGGCATTATGGTTAGAATTCCACCCAGTCCTGGGTATTTTTCTTCCAAATCAGAAAAAGAAGATAGACACAAGAGCAACCAGAAGAAATCTGTTCCCTCTCTCTGACTAGCACAGGCAGCGGCTGTGTATAGAGCACTAGCTCCTTGAGAAAGAAAAGGAGAGGGAAAAAGTCAGCGTTTGCCTTACAGGGGTTCAAGTTTGTGGGCCCTTCACCAAGTTCCTCTCTTTCAGAGTTCAGTCAATAGATCACTTGGTTTCAAACTACATTCTTTGTCCTTTACAAAAGCCTTAGTGTCAGAACCCTTTAAAAATCCGTTATTTATGCTGGAAAGTCAGGATCTGTACCTGCAGAGACCAGTTCTGCATCTACTGAGAAAAAGAACAGAATTGAGGGAAAACGGCCTGAAGTTAATCACCCGCGCGGTGGGAGAGGCAATTTGGGGGTTTTGTTGTTGTTGTTCTTTTTTTTTTTTTAACGGTGGGTGAGAAGCATTTGGGGTGCCCATGGGAGAGCGAAGTTTTCTTCCAAGCTGGGGAGAGAATGGTCACACCTCCCAGTCCAGCCACCGGGGAAGCTTTCTTCCCTCCCAGCCGAGTCTCAAGAGTCCCTCACGCGCCGGGCAAGCGGAGCCCCGGGCCAGGGTCGAGCGGCGCGGAGGGGCCTAGGGTTAGGGATGCGGCCCCGGGGCGCCCCCCAAACCAAGGCGGCTCGGCGCTGGCTCCCCAGCTCTCACTCACCCGCGCTCCCGACTCCGGGGGCCCAGCCGGAGAGTCTCCGCCGTGTCGCGGCGCCCGGCGCGGGGGCAATGTGGCTGGGGCCGAGGGGCGCGGGCTCGCGGCGCTTCTGGGGCGGCGGCGGCTGCAACTCGCGCTGCGGGCCGCGGTCAGGGGGCCGCGCCGGCCCCACGCTGGACAGGAGCGCTGGGCGGGCCGGAGAGGGAGGCTGGCCCCGTGTCCTGGGGGCGGCCGGCGGCGGCAGCAGCAGCAGCAGGAGCGGCAGCAACAGCAGCAAGAGCGGTGGCGGCCACCGCGAGGCGCGCGGCGAGGCCATGGTGGCGGCGCCCGCCCGCGCTCACATGCCCGGCTCGCGGGGAGGGCGCGGGGCGGCGCGGGTGCGAGGGAAGCGGGCGGCCGCTGCCGCTCCGGGCTGGGGAAGTGAGCCGAGTGAGGCTGTGAGCGCGCTCCCCGCCTCAAAAGTTGTGGGAGCCACGGGAGGGCGGCCGGGGGCCGGGCGGGCGCGGCGGAGGCGGCCCGCGGCGCCGCTACATGCTAATTAGCCCGGGTGGGTCGCGGGGCGGGCGGCTCCTCCTCGGTTGACATCACCGGCCCCGCGCAGCGGGCCCGGGAGCGGAGGGAGGGCAGGAAGGGGGCGGGGGCCGGCCCCCGAGAACCACCCGGGCTGGGACAGCGTGATGAGGTCAACAGAGCCCCTGAGCAACTTTGATCACATGCACACGCCCTAGAGCATCGCTTTGCATTTTGGAGAAAAATTAGAAAAACCGAGCCTTCTGAATCAGGAACCACTTTGCCAAGTCCTTAAACGCACAATAAATCTGCGAAAAGCAGGTCCTGGTAATATGATTGGCACTAACTAGTTAATATACCGAGTGCTTCTATAGGAAAGAGAAGTAGAGCTTGGCCCATGYGTCCCATTCAGCCCTGTCACTGCTCTTACTAATTTTGAAGTACCCCTACCCCCATCACCACCACTGCCCCTTCAGGTCCCCAGCACTGATGCTAAACTTGCTTTTGCCAAGCCTAACACCTGGCACTCTGACCCAGGCGGGAATCCTAATATTCCCCTGTGCCCTCACAAACCTGGATTCTGTTCCATCTGCCTTTGGCTCACACCAGAATTCTGCAGAGATGTCACCACCAGGACACCCAAACAGGCTGCAGGGAAAAGAAAACTGTGAATTCAGGCTCAGCTAGGGCAAACTCATCATCAGTGAAAGAATTGCAGATTGCAAATTAAACAAAATGTTGTGCCTCAGTGAATTTTAAATGAAAACTTCAGGAGGTAGGTTCAAAGATTTAGTGTGAACAAATTCTCCTGGTAAATAAAGTTTCATGTACATCCATATCCATAACCTTTCTCCTCCYAGTAAATAAACAAAATGTCTAAATTTTAGGGCTGCAAGACTTTTCATTTATAAGGAAGAAGGAGGGGCTCACAAAGAAGGGGAAATAACTCACTRAGATTTTGAAGTGAGACCCAAAGATTAAGTGATTTATTTGCAAATAACTCTATATCATTAATTCTTATCAGAATTTGCAATTCAGACAATATCTCACTGCTCTTTGGTTATTTTGTTGGGTATCTTGGGATCTCCTGTCTGCCTACCAGATGCTCATGAAAACCTGAGTAGGGACTGTCATACTTCTTCCCATTTCCCTGCTCCTTTTTGCTTCTCTATCGCCAGATTTCTATGATCAACCTCCAGGGGAATGAGCAAATTGTGGTGTGCAGGGTGGCTGCAGATTCACCTAGGCCCACTTTCTGGTGACTCAGTACAAATGAGTCACTTGGCAGAAAGCATTAAAGATGCTGTGTATAAACAAGTTCACCTTAAATGAGAAAGTAACAAGTAAATATTTGGTTTTATTGTTTTATTTCTGAAGAACCGCATTAGAAACCCAACTTTCTAAGTCTCATGTAGAGTTCCTGGGTCTCTCCAAGTTACAATTACCCCCCAATATGTATCATGGTTTGCTTTCATGGCCTCAGCTCAACTGGACACTGTTCCCATATTAACAGGCAGGACTGCACAGGTGCCTAGACCCAATCAGACAGATCTTAACAGGCCAAGACACTGTGTTCGGAGGTTATGATCACTGCCACTCCCTTCCTTTTTCAGAGAACACTTCATGTAGCACTAGTCACCCTCCTACGCAGAAGTTTAAGGGTTTAATGGCCCTTCYAGGATTCTTGTGTGGATTCAGGGATCCCACTTGAGAATCTGTCTTTCCTACCATGGCCCAAGGACAAACATGCACCCACCACCTGCCCCTCCTCTTTCAGCATAGGTTTATGTCTGTCTAATCTTCTTTCTAACTTCTAAGTCAAATGACCAAGTTCAGGGTAATTGCCAGCTGGGTAGTGCTTAACCAGTGGATTAGTAGGGAGAGAGGAAGRAAGAACCTGGGATGACTGATGAACAGTGTAGATAGGTTCAGCACTTTTCATCTCTTCCTAGGACAGAACAAAATAAATCAGCAAGAGAGTTGGAGGCAGTATAGAACCTGGGACAGGGTTGACTTAGTTTAAGAATCCTTGCTTCTTTCTCCAACTTAACCACTGTTTGTGTTCTRGACCTCGGTTTCTTCATCACAGAGTGTCCTAGATGATATTTTACAATTCATTAAAGCTCTTCTGGGGGCTGGGGTTGTGGCTCAGCGGTAGAGGGCTCACCCTGTGAGGTCCTGGGTTCAATCCTCAGCACCACATAAAAATAAATAAATAAAATAAAGGTATTATGTCCAATTACCACTAAAAAAGTAATTTTTTTAAAGCTCTTCTGGCATAGGAGTAAGAAGGTATGAAGCAGGCATCTAARGACATTTGTTATGTTTCCATTCTAGGGAAGTGAAAATCCAGACAATGTTCCTGATCATCTCAGATGGTTTAAAAGAGGTTCTCTCTGGAGCTAGGAGAAAAATCAGATGACTTTTCATGTCTATTCTAGCCTTGGGAGCCTATTACTCTAAGATGGAACAGGTAGGGAACAGCTCAGACCAAACTCCAAGGCAAAGGAGTTAGGAGCCAGCATTCCTAACCTTTCCAGAAGTAAAAGTGAGATTACTCCAAAGTGGATGACAATGAAATCAGCAGAAACCCAGYGTCTCTGCCACCCAAGACTGTGTGGAATTAGACCTTTTGCAGGGATTTTTCCCATTTGTACTTGTTTTAGTTAATTAGATTAGGTTTGGGCCAGGCTGCAGTAACAAATAGCTCCCCAAATATAGCAGCTTAACACCATGATGCTTTATTCTTGTTCACTTAGCCTTAGACACCGATGCTCAGGTCAGTGAGGCAGATCCTTACCACACAGTCTTCTAGGAATGTATAATATGGTGATTCTGCCACTTTCTAATGTTCAGCTTCCAAAGTTGCTGCGGGAATTGGCACTCCAATCAGCTAGAAATGAAAAGAACATGAAGATGTAACAGGGGAGGCTTTGATGGGCCAGGCCTAGGAGTTGTATGCTTCATTTCCACTTAACATTTCAGTGGAGAAACATGGTCATATGGTTAGCCAAACTGCAAAGGAGGCTGGGAAATGTAGCCCAGTTATATAGGCAAAGAAAGGAAGAAAGAATTTGGACAGACAGCTAGTGATCTCTATCCTACCCCCTGATGCCAGTAGGGGATAGGAGGGAAGGAAGAACAAGGGAGATTAATTTCTCTGGCCTTGGTTTCCTTTTTTTGTACAACAAGGATATTAAATCAGATAATCTCTCAGGGCCTATCTACTTTAATATTCTATGGTTTGAAGAGGCAACAGAATGTCCTCCTGCTCCAAAGTAAATAAGCAGAGCAGGTTCCTGCTGCAGCACGCCCACAGCTTGAGGAGCCCTCCTCTGCCCATTCATCTGATTGGGTGGACCCAATGGAGAGGACTTTGGGTTTTCTCCAAGTTCTCTTCCTAAGCTGTTCTCAATCCTTGGCCAAGTCAAGTGATCTCTATTGACCTCAGTGTCCCCAACTTTCCAGTGGGGAGAAAAATCATTACCCTTCACCACCTTCCCAGGGTTGGTCTGAGGATATGATGAGCTCACTGCCCAGAAGGCACCAGGAGCTTTTCTGACTAAAGTGCTCTGCCTGCCGCTCTTACCGCAGCCAGAGCCTTTTTTAATGCTACATTCTGAACAGGCCCCAAAGTGTGCCCAGTTCCTCAAGATGATGCCCCTGCAGGATGTGTGGCAGTGTGGGGTAGCACTGCCATGAGTATAGTAGTCACTGCATGTCAGAATATCTCAGGGACACTTAGGACTCTGGTGATGAGGGGTCCCAGAGACCTGGCACATCAGTCAACAGACACCTGGACCGAGTTTCTCCTGGAGTAGGCGATCTGGGCATGGGCATCACTGTCTCCTCCATGGAGTCTGGCCAGCTCCTCAACAATGTGCTCATCACCCTGTTATACACTGGGTCTGTTCATTCAGTTTCTCAATTGCTTGTCCTCTCCCACTCCCAATCTATGAGCTGCTTTCTGTGAAGTTCTGTGCCTTATTTGTCTTTATATTCCCAGAACCAAACACAGTACCTTTTTTCTTTTTGTCCACATTTTTTAAATTGGTGCATTATTGTTGCATATAATGGTGGGATCTGTTGTTACATATTCATACATGCACACAATATAATTTGGCCAGTATCATTCCCCAGTGTTTCTCCTTCTCTCTCCCTCTTTAATCCCCTTAGTCCCTTTCCTCTATTTTCACAGTACCATTTTTCTTTTATTTAGTGAGTCAACAGTATTTCCTATGTGACTACTCTGTACCTGGTACTGTGCTGGTTTTGGGAATAAGTCTCTGATCTCATAAAGCTTAAAGTTTTGGAAGAGGCAGAAGTCATCAAAAGAGCATCAATGTAAACTCATCCCTTATGGAAGGGCCATGAAGGACAGTACAGGGCTTCCCTGCAAAGATGAGATTAAGCCACTGTCTGAAAGCTGTGTAGGCCATTAGCTAGGCCAAAGAAGGTGGGGAGAGTGTGTACAAAGGCTTGGAAGCAGGAGGAATTGGGATAAGGGTAAAGGACTGGAAGAAAGCCAATGTGGATAGAAGATAGAGGGTGAAGAAGAGCAGGGAAAAGGTGGCACTGAGACTTTGCTGGCAACCTGACCAGGCCAGCTTAAGAGATTACGAAAGTCACTGAAAGGTTTCAAGTGAAGGAGATGGGGTAGCAGGTGGTGGAGAGTAAAGAGAAAGAGGTGAGGAGTGATATGATATGTAACTGGAAATCACTGTTGTCACTGTGATAAGAGGCGTGATTCAGAAAGAAGCAAAAACTGAAGCTTGAACTCTTAAGAGTCCAAGGATGGAATGATGG